TCAAAAAAAGGAAATTATTAGCGTAAATGGTAATAAAAAGCAAATTCGAAAAGGAAAAAGCAAACAAAATTAATTAATAAGTGTTAAAGTTACTCTAGTATAAAAAATAAGAATTAGATATTAAGATTAAAAGATTATTAAAAATCAAAATTTAACTATTTATGCCAAAATTATTATATTCTATGTGCAAAATTAAGCTGTTCAGAAACCAAAATAATGTTTATAAAATATAAAAAATATAAATTATTAAATATTTTTAGTGATTATAAGAATATAAATATAAATATGTAATATCTAAACATAAATTTGTGAAGGAAAAGATTTATTTTAAAAATATTTTTATCTTTGATTTTTATAATATTTTAGATATTTCCGAAGGGTATTATTATTTTAATTTCTTTATTAAGGATTCTTATTTAGAAATATAGATTAAAGTTATTATTGATGTTATAAAAGGTATATATGTTAATAAATTTATTAATAGATTTTGGTAAACACCAAAATTAGAATTTATATATTCAATCATATTTGTTTTTATTTTAATATAAGCATATATTATATAATTTTAATTAAATTAATTTGTGATATATATATATATATTATATATAAATTCTTTTATTTATTTTCTACAAACATTATGTTATTTATATAATTAAATAATATATATATATTCATTATAATCTAATATAAAATTTCATTATCTATTATTATATTTTTAATAAATGATATATTATTATTTAATATAAAAAAATATTTTTATATTTAATCATAAAATAATATATTTAAAAATTTATATGTTATTGTTTTGTAATTTTATTTTACATTTATAAAAGTTTATTTATTAATTTATGTCAATATATTTGATAATATTAAAACAAAAAAGAATTATAGTACCAAAGCTCTATTTAAAATATATATATTAAAATAAAAATTAAATATATAATAATATATTTAATTATTTTTATATTTTTTTATATTTATATTATTTAATATAGGATTTACAATATCTGTTAAAATTTTTCATAGACATTAAAATATTTTTCTTTAAATATTTTGTTATTACTATTTTAGAAATTTAATTTTGTTAATTTCTACATATTTTTTACTTTATATATTTATAATACATATTCTTCAATATAAAAAAAAAAATTAAATTATATATATTTAGACTTTATTAGTTATTTAGTATTTTTTTTTAAAAAAAAGAAAAATCTATAAATAAAAATATTATATATATTATATTTATATATATATATATATATATATATATTTATATATACATAAATAAACTATAAATAATTAAAATAAATAATATTCACTAAAAATTTTTATTGAAATTTATTAAAATTAATAAATTTTATATATATTAAATATTAATAAATAAATTAATTATTTATAATACAAAAATCTATATATATATAAATAATATAATAAATAATAATTTAAAAATAAAAAATTTATTATAATAAAAAAATCATTTATATAAAAGTATTTTTAAAATGTAAAAGATCTTAAATTTAAAACTAAAAATGCAAACATATGAAAGTAATAATTTTAAAATATAAATATATATAAAAAATTAAGATTAGGAATGATTTATTTATTTATAAAAATTACAAACTTAATTATAGAAAGCAATCTAAATTATTTAAAATGAAGTAATAAAAGATAACTAATAAAACAAAAAATTAATGAGTATTAAAACTCATTTAAAAAATATAAATATAATATTATAAAAATATTTTTCATTAGATAAAATGTTTAAATACATAAAAAAAATGACAAGATTATAAAAAAAGAAATACTAGAATGTAAATGAACTTTCTATATACACAAAACTTACATGTTTTTTGAATATAATTGATTATTATAATTTCCTATAAACAAAAAAAACTTAATACAATATTTTTTATTAAACCAGAAAAAATTACTAAAAAATATGTTTGTTAAATGTTAAAATAAACAAAAGTATGAAAAGAAAAATTAATATAATTTACATCAAAAAAAAGAATATCTTGTATTTAGGAGAAGTAATATTAACTAATTAATAAATAAATACTATTAAATAGAGAAAATTATGTTGATTTATATAGTAAAAACAGTTATTTATAAAGATAATAAAGTAGTAATAATATAATGTTTGATAATTATGAACTAAAATAATCATTAAAAAGCTTTAAAAAATCAATTAATAATGCACAAAGTTCTATGTTCAAAGATTGAGTTGATATATAAATTTAAGTATTTATTGTAAAAAAATTATAAATATTTTTTGTTTATACTCCTTTAAGCTTTTGTATTTTATTTATTATTTCGGTGTCTTTTTTTGAGTTTATTTAGAAAAAATAATAGGAAATAAAAAAGATTTAAACTAACAAATAATAAATAATTCAGAGAAAATGAGGATACGAATATTGAATAATGAGAAGAATTTTATATTATTTAATCGAAAAATTATTAAGAAAATTATAAATGTACTATATTATATAATTGATTAGATTATTATTAATTTTATTAAAATAATTTGTTTTTTTATTTTTTTAAGAATTTCTTTTTTTATATATATATATATATATATTTTTTTTCTTCTAAGATTATACTTTTAAAATTATTAAAATTCAAGAAAAATTTAGAATAAATAATAAAATAGTAATGGTATTTGTAATCAATTGAATTTATATTATAATAGATATATAGTTTTATTTATATTAAATTATTAAAAAATATTATTAATGAATAAATAGCCTGTAATTAAATATATCATTGAGTATTTATATATATATATATAAATTATTTTAATATTTATATAATATTTTTGATACAATTCAGAAAAAAAGATAAGTTTTTATATAAATAAAATAAAAAATTAAAAAAAAGCAATAATTCTTAAAGAATAATAAAAATTTTGAATTAAAATTAATTATTATTTAACGTATTAGTATATTTTAAAATAAAAAGTATTTGTAATCTTTTTATAATTAAATTTAAATATATAAATTGTATTTAAATATATACAAATATTTTTTATAAATCTTATATTATTTTAACTAAAATTAAATAAAATAAGATATGTAATCATCAAAAAATGAGGATTATACAAGTAAATAGAAAAACATTTTTATAAAAATTTTTAAAAAATCAATATAAAAAACTCCAAAATAAGATAAAAAAAACCATTAAAATTTAATTAAAAATTAAATATTAATTAAAGCCTAGAAAATATTAGATTGTAAATATATTCCTAAAGAAATACTTCATAGAGAAACTGAACAAAATATAATTAAAAAATTTATAAAAAAGTAATAAACTTAAAAGAAAAAAATCATATTTAGAAATATATATATATATATATATATATATATATATATATATATATAAAGATGTATCTAAAATGAATTAGAATAAAATATTCTATTAATAATAGGATAACCAGGTTCCGGAAAATCATCGACAGTATAAAAAACAATAAAAGAATTTAAAAAAAGCCGAAAAGATTTTACATATTTGAAGTTCAATGGGATGTAATATAAAGATAAGAGTTTTCTTTTGAAAGAATTGTATATAAAAATATTCAAAGAAGAATGTAAAGTAAATATATAAGAACATTTAATTGAAGAATTAAGTAAAACAATCATTTTAAAGCATTTGGTATTAATAATAGATGAATTTGAGAGCTTTTTTTAAGGGAAAAATACAGAAGAAGATCTAAAAATAATACTTAAAATGGCAAGAAAAGAAAATAATATATCTATAATTGGAATATCTAATAAAGTAGATTTATTATTTATTTTAAAGGATATAAGAAATATTTATTTTGTGCCTTATACATAATATTAAATCGAAGATATAATAAAAAAAAGAATTGAAGAAATGAAAAAAAAGCTTATGTTATAAAATAATTCTGATATATTTGAGGAAAAAGCAATTGAATTTTTTTCGAGGAAAATCTATTAAATTAAAGGGGGGGATATGAGGTATTTTTTAGAGATTTTTTAAAAGGCTTTTCAAAAAAATATATAAAAAAATAAAGGCTTTTAAGTTGTTGATATTGAAGATTTTTGTGAAATATTTGATTTTTAAGTATTTTAAAAGTATTCATTTATTAATTAAATGCCTATGGAATAATAAATAGTAATTTTTGCAATGTATTTTTGTGGAATAAATTAAGAAAATTATAATTTGGAGATTTAATTGGGATAAATTTTAAAGATTTTTAATAGAATTTGTTAGTTTTTGGGTATATTGTAGGCGAATTGTTAAAAAATTAAAAATATTTGCTTGATTTTAGAGGACTATTAGGTTGTATAGATTAAAAAAAAAATTAAAAACTTAAAAATTAATTAAATGGAAATTATATTAAAGGTTCCTTTATAGGAACTTAAATAAAATTTTGTAAAAAATTAATTGTTTGAGGATTTTTTATGAGTTCTCTTTATTATAATAATATTAATTTAATATATATATATATATGAATTTGTATTAAATATTTTTTGTAAAAGATGTAAACAAATATTTAATTTAAAATAATTTTTTTTTCTTAATCTAAAAAACATTGAAACACTATTTATTTTTTGGATTTTATATAAAACAAACTAATTTATCTTTAATCGCAAAAAATTTCTATAAAAGCAGTATTTTTTCCTTTAACTTTATAATATAACATAGTTATTTTTTTATTTTTTTTTCTAAGAAATAATTATTTTTTTTTGATAAAAAATTATATGATATAAGTTTTATGAACTTTATTTATTATTTTATTATATAAAATTTTCTATTTAAACAAAAATAAATTAAAAAAGAATAATATAAAAGTATTTAATATATTTATTTTTTTATAAAAATAATTTAAAAATATTTTATCCTATTTATATATACTTAAATGAATATATAAATTTATTTTATTTTACATTTATTTTTTTATATTTATATATCTATAATTTAATTACATTTTCGTTTTTTTTTTCTTTTCCTAAAAAATTTAATTAGTTTTTAATTATTTATCATTCTTCTGAAATCCATTTTATCCTTTTACCATCTTCCCATATTCCTTCTTTTTTATCTCCACTAGGTAATATTATCCAACCTTTATTTTACTAATATATATTATTAAAATTTATTAAATTTACCTTTCCCATTTTATTTTCCGTTTTCCAATATCCTTCATATATTTTACCATTACCCCATTCGAAAATTCCATATCCGTGTTTTTTATCATCAAGATATTCCCCTTTATATATTTTTTTATCAGGCCATATTGTTTCTCCTCTTTTTATTTTTATTATATATATAATTATTTTATATTTAAAAACAAAGCAACAAAAATACTTCCCATTCATTTTATTATTTAACCATTATCCTTTATAAGTTTTACCATCAGACCAAAAATATTCACCATAACCTGAAATTTCATTATCAAAAAATTCTCCTACATACTTACTTTTATCTGCAAAATATAAAATACCTTTACTGTTTTTTTTTCCATTTAAGTAATTTCCCTCATATTTCGCATTATCTGGCCAAATCTCAACACCTTAGCCATTTTATAAATCATCTTTCCATTCCCCTTCATATCTTGCACCTCCACTATGAATATATACTCCATGTCCATTTGCCATATCGTTTTTCCAATCACCTTCATATATATCTCCGTCTATATGTGTTAGCTTTCCTTTACCATGTGCTTTATCTTAAAGCCATTCGCCTTCATAAAAACTACCGTCTGGCCATGTGTGTTTACCAAAACCATCTCGCATACAGTCTTTCCATTATCCAGTGTAATTTCCGCCATTTTTCATTTGGATTGTTTATATTGTTATAGGTTCAGATTTTCCTATTGTTTAATTTATTAATTCTACTTAATCTTCTATTGGTTAATTGTCACCATGTCGGCTTCTTTTTAAAATACTGTTTACTTTTTTTTTAATTTAAGTGTTTTTATATGTTCTATTTATTTTTTTGTATAATATAATACCATTTTATTGTGGTTTTTATGTTTGGGAAATATTTTAATCATATTTGGATTTTTACGAATCATTATTTTAATTTTAAATATTTTTATTTATATCTTTGGATGAATCTAAATTCTATTATTCTTTTTATATTTAATTTATTAAATTTTGATTTTTGGGTTAATCTCTATCTTAAATTACAACATATTCGTTTTCTGTATTAGTTTTACTTTAAGCACAAACACAATTACAATTTCCCATTTTATTTATTTATATATTATTGCAAAATAAAAATAAATTTACTATTTATTAATCGTTTATTTAATACAAAAAATTTAATTTCTAACAAAACATTATTAATTTATAAATTAAGAAAAAATAAAATAAAAAAAAGCTAAATTTTTTTGTTTTATTTGTTTTTTTTGTTTTAATAATCATAAAATATTTGTAATAAGTTTCGCATTTTTTTATTTTATATTTAATTGTTTTATAAAATTAAATATAATTATATTACTATTTTATTTTTTAATATTTTAATATTATATACTTAAAATCTAAATTTGTTTAAAAAATAATATAAATATTTGATTTTAATAAATAAAAATATTTTTAAAAAGAATTTGATAATTAATTCATTTTTAAAAAAAAAACCAAAATCTATTTTTTTTATAAAATGTTTTATTAAATACTTATTATATTATAATAAATCTATTTTTACAAAAAACTTAATATATCAAATATATTTTTTTACCTTAATATAGTACACTTAAGTACTTTCTATATAATTAACTAATTAATATGATTTTCTTGTTTTTTAGAATTTTCATTTTCTACTTAAAATATTAATTCCCCTTTTTACTATTATATTCAATTTTTTTTATTTATCTCTTACTTGATTTTCTAAATGTATATTATTTTTTTGACAATATTATTATTAAAAAATCGAGTTTTATTTTTCATTTAATCTAAATATTTTATATAATTTTATTTTATTTAAACATTTTATTATATTATTACTGATTATTTACTTGTAAAGTATTTAATAAATTGAATTTTATTCATTTATTTCTATAGAAAGATTTTTTTTTATTTAAATTTATCCTTTATAATAACCTTTTTAATTCCATATTTTATCTATGCTTTTCAGACTATAAATTTGCTTATGTTTATTAGAATAATATTATTATTTCCATTATTAGTTTATTTTATATTTTAGTTTTTTAAACGAAGTTTAAAATATATTCTAGAAATAAATATAGTTGAAACTTATGAATTTATTTAACCTTTAACTTAAAAAAGAAAAAAATATTTACAGGTTTGCTTGAATTTTCAATAAATGAATTTTTGTGTTTTATATAAACTTCTATAATGAATTAAATATATTCAATTTCAATTAATGAATTACTTTAAAATTTTGGTTTAAAATTCAGATGAATAGTTACTTTTTAATTGCTTCATTTTTTAAAATGATAAAATGATTATTGTCAATTTTTTAACTTTTTATTCATGTTTTATTAAATATTCATTTCTTAATTGATTGATAATTTTTTGTAAATGGACAATAAAATTTAAGATACTGGAGTTAGTAATTCAGTAAAAAGACAGGAGTGTTAATTTTTTATACTTCATTACTTTCAAATAAATATATAGATTAAACATTGTATTTAAATATTTAAAAAATATTAACATTATATCTTAAAATAAATTCCTTTTTTTATTTTTTTTGTAAAAAAATAGTTCCTTTTTTTTTAGTATACATTCGATGAAATCTTGTCTTCTTTTGGTTTTTCAAACAAATTTAAAAAGGGAATTCATTAAATTGAAAAATTATTTTTTAATATTATATTTTTATTTTTTTTCGAAGTATAATGGAGTTTTAGAAGTAAATTAAGCATTCGATTCTTTAAAAGAAAGAAAATTTAATTTAAATCATTTTTATAAACTATTTATTTTTAGATTATTTTAAATCTTTCAAGAAATCCCTAAAAAATTGGTTTAATATATTTATAAAAAAAAATAAAAAAATCTATCTTAAATAATTTTTATAAATCTAGATTTCTCACAGAGTCTTTTCTAGGTAAACCTGAAAAAAAAAAAAAAAAAAAAAAAAAATTATTTCTTCCAAAAATATAAAATATATATATCGATCATCATAATTATTATTCTTTAATATAAATTGATTTGGGGGATTATTATATAAATTATTTTTTAAAGAGTTTATTATGAAAATTAGATAAGAATATATTGTATTTATTAAGAATTCTGTATTGGTTTCTAATATTATTTAATCTCTAAGTTTATTTAATATTTATCTTCTTTTTCATTTTCTCTGTATTTTTATTTTTGAGATAATGTCTAACTCTACATTTTAAATTTACATTAACGTACTTTATGTCTAAATATCTTATATAAACTCATATTTTATTTCATTTTTATATATATATATTTTATTTGGCTGATTATTTCTTTATTTCTTACAAAATCATTCCTATACTATTTATCGAATAAGAAAATACCAACATTTAAAAATCATATTTATAGTTAGAAATGTTACTTCATAAGATTTCTTGGAAGTGAAATATCTTCCATAACTAACAGTTTTATTTCATTTTCTTATGATTTTTTTTTAATATATAAATAAATAAACTTATTGTTATTGTAGTAATGGGTAAATATTTATTTTTTCATATATGGGCAATAATTGCCATGCTATTATAAATTTATTTTTTTAATTATATGGTTTAATTATAAGACTATGTGTCACTAAAATAAAAAAAATAGTCAAATTAATAAGTTTAATTATATGTTTTTTAATACACATTCTATATACTATTTTTTTTATTATAGTATATCTTTTCATTTTAAGAATAAAATCTATTCTACTATAATATAATAGATAATAATTGTTTTATCTATAAATCTTAAGTATAGAAGGAAAATTAAGCTTTATATGTTAATAAAAAAATATGCTTTAATATATTTAAAAGTCATTTTTTTATACATTAAATTAATAGATAATTTTTTAAAAATAAGTGCTAAAAATTTAATAGAATATCGAATATATAAATTAGAGAATCATAAAAATAAATAGTTTGTTTGTAATTTATTGCAATAAATAGAATTATTGAATTGAAAATATAAACTTAAATATAATGTGGAGAAAATTTGGTTAAACAAATAAAACTTTTTTCAGTTTTAATTGTTTAAATGATAAATATATAATTCTTTTTGATAAATTTTAATTTTTTTAATAATTATATAAATCTTTAGATATGGTTTTATATATTAATTATATTATTTTCATAAATTTTAAGTATATTAATAATTAGTTTATTCCTTATTTCACCATTATTTTTAATTTGACTAATTTAAATGAACATAATTATTTATTCCGTATATAATTTAAATTTATTTACTATTATTATTGTATATTTTCTTGTAAAAGAGCGTATTATTTGTGTATTAATATAAAAGTTTTGTAATTTAAAGAAATTTTCTTAAATTATTTATATTTACTGAAGTTTTATATTTCTTTTTAGAAATTTAAGAAAATCTAATAATGATTGAAATTTGGTTTTTTGTTTTGTTTTTATTTAATTTTTTTAGTTAAAATTAATATTTTAATATCTCCAAATTTTTATGGGATTTAAGCTTTTGATATATTTTTATATTGGAAAAATATATATCCATATAACTCCTGATATGAAATCTTAGTGACATTAAATATGTATAAATTCTATTCATATATACAGAAACATATAAAAATTAATTTATATTTATACAAGTATGTTATTCATTAAAATTATTATATAATAATACAATTAAAATATTGTCAACACCAAAATTAAATAAATATTTTTAATTATATAATATTAGTTTCATGATATTATTCAAAATATATATTTTTTATATAATCAATAATTAAAAACTTATATATACTTGTTGAAATATACTACTATAAAAAAAAGTATCATTGATGTTTTTTAAGATAATAAATAAGCAGTTATTAAGTTGAAATTGAAATAATTTTTATTTATTTTTATAATTTATTATTAATATAATAATGACAATAAATTTATTGTTTTTTTATTTTTATATTTTTGTATATCAGAATTTAATTTAAAAGGTAAATAAGTATTTTAACTATATTAAAATACTTATTTTATAATTTACATTTTGAAATTATTATTAATTAATAATTTTTTAATATTTATTTTTAAATTATTAGAATAAATCTAAATTTATTTTATTAATTTTTGTATAAAATTTTATTTATTATATTATAAAAATAAAATGATTACTAATAATTCATAAGAAAGTACAAAATATTTCATAATTGAGCAAGTAGATAGAGGACTTTATGACTGGTCTTTACATGAATATATAAATGTAATGGATTATTTAAAAAACATAAATTCAAAGCTTGTATTTACAAATGCAAAGAATTTTTAAGACCTCGAATCAGATGAAAATGGAAATTATATAAAAAATATCAAAATTTTAGAAGAAGAAGAGAAAAAAAGAGGAGGAAATTTAACTTTGAAATTCGAGAATAAATTACCTTAATATATAAAAGATGATAAATTATTAAATTTATAAGATTAAAATAAAGATATATAAATTCCTTTTAAAAGAATTGTTTTATTAGATATGAGAGGTGAAAAAGAACTAGAAGTATATTTTAATATTATTTTTTTTAATTTTTTGTTTATTATTATTAGCCGGCTGATTTTGATAAATTTGATGCTTTTATATTCGGAGGTATTTTAGGAGATCATCCTCCAAAAGATAGAACTAAAGAATTAAGAGATTTAAATTTTGAATATAGAAGATTAACAGAAATGTAAATGACTACTGATACAGCTATTCTTACTTCTAAAATTATTCTTTTTGATAAAATTACATTGAATAATATACTTTTTGTAGAAGAACCTGAAATTGAAAATAAAAATAAAAATGGTTAATGTGAAGAATCTTGTTAAATGGAAGGATTCACATATGTAAGTGCTATGTATGATATTGAAAAAGGATCTTTTAGTAATAATGCAGATAAAATAAATATACCTATTATGCCAGATAAAATAAAAAACGAACTTCTTTTTGTAGATTTTTGATATAAAAAACATAAGATAAATATTTTTTAATTAAAATATATATATTTTTATTTTGTTTGTTAATATTTAAAGAAAATAGATTTAAATAATATTCTATTTTTTTATTTATTTATTTTCATTAATATTATTTAGAAAGTAATTAATACTTTAATTAAAATATAAAATTTAATTTTTTCTTAAAAATAATATAATTATCAATAAAAACTCATAAAGAATTCATATTTTAATATAAAAAAACAAAGTCTATATTTTTGTTTTTTTTATAATATTTAAATATTATTGAATTAATTTGAAATCTAATAAAAATTAAGATTTAATAATTAAAATAAAAATATAAAAAGTATAAAACTAAAAAAAAATAAGAAAAAAAAATAAAAAAAAAAAAAGTAATATAAAAAAAAAAGTAATATAAAAAATTAAAATAACAAAAAATTAAATAAAAAAAAAATTCAGATATATAAAAATTTAAAATGGGTAAAACAAAATATTCAAGAGAACCTGCAGTACCTACCAAAGCAGTAAAAGCTTCTGCAAAAGATTTAAGAATCCATTTCAAGAACACTTATGAAGTAGTTAATGCGATCAAAGGCATGAACTTAAGTTTCGCTTAAAGATATCTTAAAGATGTTTTGGATCGTAAAAGATGTGTTCCTTTTGTAAGATTTACTGGATGTATCGGTAGAACTGCTTAAGCTAAGGAATTCGGAAGAACTTAAGGTTTTAAATTATTATAAATATTTTCTTTTTTTCTTAAAAAATAAAATAAAAGGAAGATGGCCTGTTAAATCCGTAAAAGTTATTCTCGGATTATTAGATAATCTTTCTGCAAACGCATCTGTATATATATATATAAATAATAATTAATATTAGTTAATTTATTTTTAATTTAAAAAAGGCAAAGAACCTAAACAGTTCCAATTTGGTCTTAGCTCATGGATAAGTAAATAAAGCTTAAAAGGGAAGAAGAAGAACTTATAGAGCTCACGGAAGAATCGGACGTATAATTTAATATATTTATATAAATATACATATTTATATATATAAATATATAACAATAAAAATAAATATATATATTTTTTTTTTATTTTTTTATAGCTTATTTAAATTCTGGATGCCATGTTGAAATTTTCGCAGTAGAAAAAGCTGCATAAGTTAAAAAAGAAGCCAAAAAAGAAGCAACTAAAAAATTAACAAGAAAATAATAATAAAAAACTAAACTTGCAATTGGAAATTGATTATATTTGCTTTTTTTATTAAACAATATAAATTTTTATGTGTTTTTTTATTTTTTCTGTAATTTTATTTTTTAGAAATATATTCTTATTTAAACTTAGATTAAAAACAATCAGTTAATTTTTTCTTTTCCTATAAATACTTTTTTTTTATATATTTATTTTATTAATAAAAAAAAAAAAAGTAAATTAGATATTTTTAAAAATATTAAATAAAATATTTTTATCTAATAAAAATAATAAAATTAAAAATTTTTAAATATATAATATATATATTTTAATTAATAAAAAAAAATTTATTTAATAAAAATATTCAATATATAATATATCTAACTAAATAGATATTTTTTTCCATAAATATATATATTCCATATTAATATATATATATATATATATATATATATATATATATATATATATATATATTTTAAATTTTCATTTTTTATATAAAACATATTTAAATAAAATTATAATTAAAATGTTTATATAATAAAATTATACATTCAATAACTAAGAATGTATTAGAGTAAATTAAAAACTTTTAAATTCTGTAAGCATAATGATAAATTTATGATTAATGTTGAAGAAAAACCAATTCCTCTTAAAGTACTTATTTTAAGCTGATTTCCTATTAAATATCCAATAGCAAATAATATCCTTCCAGCAATGAAGAGACAAGCAAGCCAAATAAAGTATAACTTTTGTTCTTATTTTTGATTTTAAATTAATTAAAATGTCCAATTAGGTACAAATATTAAAGCCTATTCAATACTATTATATAATATTCTTTAACATATGATAACACATTATGGGTCTTTTCCTAAAGCTGGATTAGGACTTTTGGTCAGTACTCTAAAGAAAATTGTCAATATAACAATAAAGATGAGATAGGTTGAAAAATATACTAAAATAGTAATATTAGATTTAGTTTTTGTTCAAGTGTTTATATTTTTATATCTTTAAAATAAGGATCAAGTAAATTGATTTTTAAATAAGAGCTTTTTATTACAGTTATAGCAAAAACTAAGTTAAAAGGAAAAAGGAATGCTGTTAATATTTTATTGTCCCCCATATTATTTTTATATATTGAATATTTTATTTTTTATTTTTTTATTAAAATAATAATATCAAATATTAATATCTTATTAAATTAAAATTATAATGTTTTTTTATTTTTTTTAATAAAAAAGTAAAATATTATAATTTTTAATTATTATTATTATCATAATTTATAAAATATTTCATCAACTAAATATTTATTTATTTATCCCATTTTCCTTTTAGAAAATATTAAATACTAGATATTATTTTTTTAATAATATATACCATCTTTCTATTAGTAAACTTAAAGAAGATTCATTCGAATTGTATTTTAATTAATTTAAACATATTTCCTTAAAAATAAAGAAATAAATATATATATAAATAGATAAATATAAATATATATATATTATATATATATATTTATCAATTTTATTATTATAATTTAAATACTTAAATCTAATAGGCTTATTCAAATTATTCAATAAAATTTTAAAGTTTTATTAAATTTAATTTATTTTCTTCGTCTATTATTTATTTTTAGTATATATTAATCTTTTACTTATTATAGATTTCTCCTAGTATTAATAAAACTTGATCTATAATAAATATTATTATTTTTTTATTTATAAAAAAATACTTAATTATTTCAAAATTTCTTATAATTTTTCAAAATTTTTTTCACCTTTTGTTTTTTTTGTTAAATAAAAATAATAATAAATTTTTAAATTCAAATTTTTAATATTACATTTTATAAATTATTTAGTTTACATTTCATTATTTTTTTAAATGCCTTTAAAATAAAAATAAAGAAATTATTAAAATCAGAATAAAATATATATTAACTTTATATATATTCTATTTATTTTTGTATTATTTCTTATCCTTCTTAATTTAGATTATTCCATCCTAAAAGACTTATTATTATTAATTTTAATAATTTAAAGAAAATAAAATAAATATACTAATCTTTTATATCTTTATAACTTTAATTTATCATTATTAATAAATAAAAAAATTAATTAAATTTAAGTTTTTTTATTAAATATATATTAAATAAGTATTTTTATATTTTATATATCAAAAATAAATTTACTATATTAAAAACATAAATAGAACAAAAAATATATATATTTACTATATAAACTATTTTAAAATTTAAAATTATTTAGTTTTTTAAAGCATCAACTACTAAAAAAAAAAAAAAAATCCTGCTTTAAAAGTTTATTTTAATACATTTTTTTTTTTTTTCATTTTTCAAATTTCTTCACAGGAGAAATATTACTAATATTAGCAACCAAAACTCTACCACTACTATACATAGATTTTCTAGATTTAGATTAAATATAAACGTCATAAAGGTTTTTATTTGTAGCATTTTCAGCACCTAATTAACTTAATTTTTTTTCATAATCTTAAATTTTAGTAGATGAGTCTTTAGAATCCATAAAATGATTTTCTAATTATTAATATTTAACAATATAATCATTCAATTATTTATCTTTTGATAAAATAGCATTTTTTAAATTTTAAATTTCTTCTTCTAATCCTGTTATATGATTATTATGCGAATTTTTAATAGTATCAAATGCAAAATTATTGAATTTTTCTAATTTTAATCTCAAATCATTAATTTCTATAGCTTTTTATTTTTCTAATTAAACAATATAATTATTTAATTAAACTATTTCTTAATTAAGTTGATTTTTTTCATTTTCCAAAAATTTTCTATGGTCTTAATTAATATTGGATTCTTAACAAACGACAATTAATTATTCTTTATTATAATATTAAATATTAATCATATATATATATATATATATATATTTATATATATCTATGTTTTTAATTTATATGAATTTTTTACCTTTTAATTTCTTATTTTCATTTTCTAATGAATATATTTTAATTTTACTTTTTTTAAGTTTTCAGAATAAATATCATCATTTATTGATAATTTTTTTTTAACTTCATCTGCTTGAATTTTATTTTGATAATCTGAATTTTCAATTTTCAGAAGAAGATCTTTTATATTTATTTTTAGATTTTTAATATCTTCCTCAAAATTATTTTTCTAAAGTTTATTTGAGGATATAATTTTATCCATTTCATTATTTTTGTGAACTAAAATAATTTTCAGTTTTTCAATTTCTCCTTCTAAAAATTAAATTTGCTTAATTTATTATTATTAACAATCTTAATGAGATTAATTATTTCTATTTAAAGTTTCTATATATTCATTATATTCACGTTTTTTTTCTTCTTCTTAAATATTACATTTTAATTTAATTGTTTCTATTTCACTATTTAATTATTCTATATTTATATTATATTAATTTCTTTGCTACATTCTTTCCATGATTTAATCTTCTAGTTCTTATATTTTCTATTATAGAATTTTCTTTATGTCTTTATTTTCCTAAATCAGGTCGTTTATTTGGTTTTCATGGAGCTTTTTTAAACCCTAAATATCTGTAGTATGTAAATTTGCAAGTTTATCCTATAAATCATTAATTTCTTCCTCCTTTATGAAATTATTCTCATAAATTTTTTTCTTTAAGAGCTTGATTTTCGACTCGAATTCCTTCAAGTTCATTATCAAAGTTTTTTTTTTAGGCTTTATTTTACTAAATGAGGTTATTAATTTCCTAATTTTTAATTTCAAGGAGGTTTTTAAGTTAATTGATTTCACTTTCTAGTACGTCCAATTCACTTTAGTGTAATTATTTGAATGAATTCAACTATTCGAGACTAAGAGCGTCCTATCTTCTTTTTAAATTTTCGATTTCTTTCGCATTATCGAGTTCTTATTGACAGTTTTTCATTCTTAATTTTTCTTTTAACTCATTTAATCTCTAAGTCTCTTATTCGGTATATTTGTTGCTTTCTTAAAGTTTGTTTTCAAGATTTTGTAGTTCTTTTTCCCTTTCGTCAATTATATCTTTCGTTTTTCGCAGTTATTCCTCGTAAAGAGATATATTAGAACAATGAGATCTCTTAATAGACTCGATTTATGTTTAATTATCATTCATTAGTTATTGTTTTTTTTCTTAAACCTCCTTTTCGCGTTCTTATTGCATTTTTTCGTTTAATTAGCGCTAAGTTTGGAGTTAGTTCCAAAGCTTTTAAATCTCACTTTCATAGTTCGCCTTTATTTAAATTATAGAATTCATTTGGGTCTCATATTTAGACTTCCATATATCAGATTCGGTGTCGTTTTTGAGAAAATTATTTAGATAATTGGTCGTTTTCATTTATTAGTGTGGCATTTTGTTTTAAAATATCATCTACTTTTTGCTCAAGGTTTTTGACTTTTTTAGCCTTGAAAGAAGCGAGCTCGTAGGTCAGTGTTTACTTAACACAAAGAGGTTTCGAGTTCGTTACAGCGACTTTTCCATAATTCGACTTCATTTTATTGGTTTTTGGGGGGGGGTTATGTGCTTTTTGGGACTTTATTAAGTATTTTCTTAACGGGCACTTTGCTTTATACTTTAAAAACTTCTTTTAGGAGATATTTTATTAACTTAATATGATGAAGATGGCTTTATGTATTATATGGGACTTATAGAATGGGTTGGGGAAGAGTTTTAGTACATTATTTTCTGTTTTGTTTTTCTTTGTTAAAATTTTATTTTTTTGTTTATTAATTTATATACTTGTTAATAAATTTTATTATTATTTTTTTTAATAATTTAATCACAAAAAAAAAAAAAGGCAATAAAAATGAATAATGATTGCCTATTTTTTTTACAATCGAGTTTTAACAAAAAAAAAATTAAAAAATATAGAGATATAGAAATATATAATTTTTATTAAATTTTTATTTATTGTGTTTTTAAAATTTTACAATTTATTATTATTATTATTTTTTTTTGATTTTTTTAAAAAAATAAAAAGAGTGTTTTTTTTATCGAGATATATATATATATATAATATATTTTTAATAAAGATTTTTATTTTAATTCAAAAATAGTCTTTTTTCTTTTTTATTATTTTATTATCTTAATATATTTTAAAAATATAAAGAACTCATGTTTTTTTATTTAGAAATTGTTTCTATTTATATATTTGTATTTATATCTAAACTGTATGTCTTTTAAGTAATTTAATTCTAATAACTATATCATTAAAATTTTCTAAATAAAAATAAAAAAATTACTTGTTTTTCATATGCATTTATTTATGAATTATTATCAAAATAATCATTATTTTTTCTAAAAGTACTCTCTGTCTATTAAATTCTTTCATTTTTAGAAAAGCAATACTATGTATTACTATTATTATATGTTTATATGTTAGTATTATTATTTTTATTATAATTAATTTAAAATGCATTTTTTAATTTTATTTATATTTATTTTTTAGTCTTTTTTTTTTATTTCGCATTTGTATTTAGCTATATCGTTTTCTTTTTAATTATTTGGAATTTAATGTTATATACTATTATAATTTTCATCAATATTCTAATAAATTTTATTTTAAAAATGCTTTATTAATTTTAATTGAGAAGATTAATTTATGTTTAAACTATTTTTTTTTCTACACATTTTTGTTTTATTTTACTTATCTATATTTCTAATTATTAATTTATTATAATTTTCTTGTTTTAATGATTATTTATTTTCTATTAATTATTATTACATATTTTCTATTAATACTTTTAGTTGTTGTTCAATCTTTTATATAAATATATATTTATTTTATAAAAACTATATAAAAATTAAAAAAACCCCTATTCGTCATCTTATTTCTGCTTCTAATTTTTAAAGCTATTATTCATATTTATAACAATTAATACATTGTTTCTATTATTCGGATTATTTCTTAAGTATTTACTCTAGTTAATCTCTTATCATTTTAATGTTATAAAATTAATATGATTCTTTTATAAAATGTCTGAATTTTGCTATTTATTATAAAAAATGAATAATATTATTATTTATTATATAATAGTTATTTTAATAAAATATATATAAAAAAAAAATATTAATACAATGTTTTATTAGATTATTATTTAAATTTTTTATATTAAATAAAATTATAATTATATTCACTATTTAATATAAATATAAAAAATTATATTTTTTTAAAATATTATTAAATTAATAATTTATATTTATTTAAGAATTATAAAAATTATATAAAATACCAAGAATAATAGATTAAAAATTAAGAATTATAAATATTATTTTAATTACATTAATTATTTTATTTAATAGAAAATTAATTTTATGAAATTTTGAATTGAAATTAAATATGAATTTTTTTTAAATAAAATTATTATTTAATCTTTTTCTATTTTATATTTATTATTATTATAAAATTTAGAGAAAATAAAAAATGAATTTAAATTTAATTAATTATAAAATATCAGAAAATCTAAATTATATTATATTATTAAGCTTTTTGTAAATTTAAAATAAAATTAATAATAAAAAAATAATACAGGTAGAAATATTGTAATTTACATTATACATTGAGATAATTAATATAGAGGATAAAAAATACTACTGATTAAAAAATAAACAATGTAAACTTTTTTATGCTATTTAACTATTAATAAAAGATATCTTTGATAAAAATTATGAAAAATAAATTAAATAAATATAATAATAAAAGTTTTGAATAAAAATAAAATAATAAAAAAATAATGAGCTTAATTAGTATTATGAAAATAAAATTTTTAAGATATATATATATATTGAAAAAAAATATATATAAAAAATAAATTTTTAATTTTTTAATTTTTTAATTTATTAATATATATTTATATATACATATATAAAAATATATATATATATATATATATATATATATTATATATTTTTTTATTTATTTATATATATCTAATAAATATAGAAAAATATATAAAATTATTTTATATATTTACTTTTATTATATTTTTATATCTATTATTTTTAAAAACATGTTTTATTTTTAATATTATAATTTTATTTTAATATCTCTAAATAAATATATATTCACACAAAAACTAATTATTTTTTATAATATTAAAAATTTACTATTTTTTTATTGTTTACTTACTTTAGTTTTTTTTTGTTTGTTATTTTATAATGAATTAGAATAGCACATATTTTAATTTATAACTATATCTATATATTTTTAATTTTTTTTATATATTTCATTTATTTATGGTTTACTTATTTAAATTTTAAAGAATTTTTTTATCTAATATAATATAATTATTTAGCAAATCATTATAAATTAATTAAAAAATAGACTATTACTTATGTATAATTCATTTTCTTAAATAAACTTATGTTTATGGTGTTTAGGAACTTTTTTTCCTCCAAGTCATGTTTATTTAAATAAAGTCATATTACCAAAAGAATATTAGGTTTAAATTGAATGATCATCATATATGGATTATAAAATGATTTTATTTTTTATGATATAAATAATTTTTATATTGAATATTTAATTAGATTTAAAAACTATATTTAATTATTTATATATATATATATATATATTTATTTTGTTTTTAATTAAAAATAATATTTAAATTTTTATTTTTAGTTATTCAGGCTTAAGTATATTCTAATTTTTCTAAATCTTTTTCAGCAATAAATATACTTTTTAAATTGGAATGACTGTTTTCTTAGCTATTTTATTAACTTGGCTTTTTCGAAAATTCGGATTTATTTTATTACTTTGACATTCTGATACCTTATTCGGAAGAATTATGCGAATGAGTACTTGAAGCAAGAGAGTTTATTCCCAAAAGTTTTGTATTGTTAGTATTTTATGCTTAATATGATTTTCTGAAATAAGGATTATCATTAATAAGGGCTTAATTAAATTATTTGTATTTATTTTTTCTAGCAATTTTTTTAAGTTCTTCGTCCATTTTATTCGCTTCATTTTTTTATTAGTTAATTAAATCATAATATTATTACTAATCCCATTATTCTTTTAAATTATATGTTTTTCTCTCTGGAGAGTTTAATTTAGAATTACTTCGAGATGCATTTAGGTCTTAAAGAGATATTTATTTTAAAAATTTATCTGTCTGATCTTAATCGAATTCTTTTTGGAGAATAGATGTTATGGAATTGTCTCTTTTTTTTTTTTTTATTGTCTCTTTGTTTTCATATTCTTCATCTTCTATTGCTTCTTCTTGGTTTTATTTTAATTTATGTCTTATTAAAATTTAGGATACTTCTTTAAAAAAAGGATCTTCTTCTACTTATTCACTTTATTTTAAAATTTATATTTATGGATATTATTATTCTTTTTCATCTTTTAATTAGAAATTTTATTATTTTATTTACTTTTTTATTTTTTTTATTTAATTAAATTTTTTTTTGTTTTTATTTTTTTTAAGTTTTTTTTTTTTTTTAGTTTTTTTTTAAGTTTTTTTTTTTTTATTAAGCATTTTTTACTTTATCGTTTTCTTATAAATCTTCGTTTGAATGGATTGTATTAAGTTTTGATTTTATTTCTTAGTATTATAATTCTTATATATCGTTGTTGTTTTATTAAGGCTATGGATGCTATTATTAATTATTCGCTATATATATGTTTAGATTATCGTTTTTTATAAAAAATTAAATTTTTCTTTATTATTAAAATAACGGTTATTAATTATATTCTTCTTTTCTTTTTCCACAGCATGTACCCATTTTATAAAAAAAATTATTTTAAAAATAAAATAAAGTTTTGTAATTTTTATTTATTTTATGCAATTAATAATTTGAAAATATTATTAAAATATATATATATATATATATATATATATATAATAATATATAAAATACATTATAAATTTTTATATATTTTCTGATAAATTTATATAAAATATATATTATTTATTTAATTAATTTTTTTATTATATTATTATAAAATTTATTAATAAATAAATTCATTATTAGAATCTAATTATTATTATATATCTAATTGGGCAATTGGTCTAGTGGTATGATTCTCGTTTTGGGTACGAGAGGTCCCGGGTTCAATCCCCGGATTGCCCCCTTTTTTTCTTTTTTTTCTTTTTTTTTATTTTTTTTTTAGGAATTTAATTTAAACAAAAATATAAATATAAATTAATTAATTATATTTTTATTATACTAATAATATATATTTCATTTTTTATATATATTAATAAGTTTGTTTTAAAAAATTAATATATATTTTCATTTATTATTATTTTTTACAAGAATTTTTATATTAAAAAAACAAAAATATATATTATTTGTTAAAATATCTTTTAGAATTTATATTTTTATTATTCTCGATAAAAATTCATATTTTATAATCTGAAAGTTAACCTGAAATATAATCTAAAACTTCTTTCTTCATTGACATTAAACCTCCATTTTAATTATGAAAATCTTCCATATTTTCATCATATTAATAATTATTGGCATTTATATCAGTAATAAATCCTCCAGCAGCTGATATTATAGCCTCCAAAGCACAAATATCCCATCTAGATGCTCCTTTGGATAAATAAACTAAATAATCAGCTTATTTTTCTAATACCATCAACCCTTTTTTTCCAAAACCTCCTTTTCTGATAATTTAAACGGGCTTAAGTGCTTATATGGTATCTAATTGTTACTAAGAAATTCTGTTTTGGGAAATAGTAGCTACTAGATTATCCAAATTTGAATTATAAATAGGTTTTTAAAATTCATAAGGTAAATAAAACTATCTTCCTTCTTCATTTAATTCGCTTCCATAAGCATAAAAAACTTGATTAACCTAAGAATGTGCGAAATAAATTTTCGGATTATATTAATTATTATCATCATAATGTTGTCCTACAATCCCTATTGTGGGCAATCCGTTTATTGTAACTCCTATAAGAGTACATACGGAGTCTAATTCTCCATTTACATAGGATAAAGTACCGTCTAAAGGGTCAATATAGACTACTGCATCAGATATATTTAATTAATTATTTAAGTTGTTTTTTAAGAAATATTATTCTGGAATCAATTTTTTATTTAATTTTTAGAAATCATAATTTAAATCTCCTGTGTAACTTTTTTTTTTTTATTATTATTATTTTTTATGCTTTGTTTTTTTACTCTATTTATTCTTCGGCTACTATTTTTATTTAAGGGAAAAATTAACGAATTCCTTTTATTATTAATGCTTGGCTTTTCAAATCGGCTATTGTCATAGGATCATTTTTTCCTTTCCATTGTTCACCTAGAGAACCTGATTTTTATATTTAAGATATTATTTTAGATGATTCTAGTGTAAGTTATAAACATATTGATATAAATTCACTTACTTTTCCTATATTTGACATTTTATTTTTTTAATATTTTTATTTTTAATAAATATCAATTTATGTTTTTTTTTTTTTTTTTTTTTCATAAATATAATTTTAAATATATCCATTGCTTATTTTTATATATAATTAAATTTTTCTTTATATGATTACCTCAAATTATGTTTTTTTATATAAAAAACTATTATATTATATTTTATATTTAAATTTATTTTCATCTATTTCCGAAAATTATATAATAGGATCTTTTGTAATTTAATAAAAATGATAATTTTTCAGATTAATTTTATAAAATAAAATTTTAAAATTAATTTTAAATTAAAAAAAGTAAATATTTTAATTGCTAAAGACTTAAATAATTTATTTTAGATTAAAAATTTAATATTGAAGTTTAAATTATCTTTATTTCAAATCTGTAGAGAAATATTAAAGAAACGAAGTTTATATATTTTATACTAATTCTTAGGAGTATTTTTTTTTTTTAAATATAAACTAAATGTTTCATTATACATATTAATATAGATGAATAAATATCTATTATATTCTTTTTTATTTAAAATTATTACTTATTATGATTATGATGTATTTTATTTTTCTATAATTTTTTTTAAAAACTTAAGGCAAGAAAAAATGGAAAAATTGACTTTTTAAAAATTATTATTATTAGAAATTGTATATATTGAATTTCAAAGGAAATGAATTACCATAAAATCAATAATTAAATAAAAATTTAAAATGCAAAAAAAATAAAAAGGAGTTATAAAGGCAGATCATATTTTTTTTTTTTCAAGACTGCCTACAAATCTAAAGTTATAATTAATTTTAAATTTTTTGAATATTAATTATTTTTAGTGCTTTCATATATATAACTAGACTTTATCTTTATTATATAAATAATAATTAGTTATATAATAATTTAATTCTTTGAAATTAAATAATTTTATATAAATTATATATATATGAGTTTCTAAAGTCTTTCTTTAATTAGTTTGACTTTTAACAATCTAATTTAAAAAGTGAAGTATAAATAATTTTTTTAAATAAAATAATTTAAAATTGTCCTTAAAAAAATAAAAGGATTTATAATTAATTAATTAAAAATAATAATATTAAATAAATAATATATATTTTTTATTTTTTAAATTTTATTAATATATATTAATCTAATTTTAGATTTTTTTTTTTTAATTTCGAAAAACATATACATATATAAAAATTTTTATAAAAATAACTTTTCTTTCATATATAAAATATTATATTAATAAGTTAGAGGGAAAAAATAACAAATATTTATATAAATAATAATAATAAAATACAAAATAAAAAGCAAAAAAGGAGGAAAAAAATAATATAAACAATTATAAATAATAATTATTTACATAAAAGAAGTAACCAAAAAAACATTTCATATTTTTTATATTTCCATCATAAATTTTTTTTATTAAAAAAAAAAATAAAAATCAATAAAACAATTAATAATGAATTCATCATTACTTTCCTAATAAAATAAGCCATATTAATTACTAAACTAGCATTCGAAATATGTCTAAAAATATATTATCAAGTCCAAAACCTAAACAAATATAATATATTCGGACGTATATAAGATCATATCGATAATAAATAACGATTCATTAGTCATGAAGGAGGTAATAACAGTACATAAAGACGGAAAAATACAAGAATAATCTAAAAAAGCAAGTATTTTATTAGAAAATGAATATAATATAACACGAAGGATTAATAATTTGCATATTTTAGAGCCTAAAAAGTTGAAAAAACATAAAGAGGGGATTTATATATTGAGTGAATTTGCAAGAGGGAAGGACTGCTTTGAAGTACTCATATAAAAGAAGTAAGAATTTTTTAAAAAAATGTAATGTTTATACAAGAAGAAGGAAGAAAACTCAGAAATTGATGAGGTAGAATGGAAAAAAGGAGAAAATTTACTATAAAGTAACATAATTAAAATTAAAAAATTGGTAAAATAAATTGGAATTGCCTTATTTTACTTACATTAGGAAAAAAATATAGCACATAATGATATAAAACCGGATAATATATTTATTTTTGATGAAAATTCTTAATTTAAATTAGCGGATTTCGGTTATGCGAAAAAAATAGGGTTTAAAGATTTTAATGAGTGTTTTAGGTTTTTTTTGAATAAAAAACCTGGCTATTTTGCACCGGAAATCTTCAATTTTTTAGGAATGGATTAGAGTATTGTTATTGACGAAAAAAAATGTGATGTTTTTGCATATGGGGTTAGTCTCTTTTAGATTATATTTCATTAAAATCCATATTTTATGCATGGGTGTTATTAAAAAGATCAGATTTATTAACTTTTGTAATTTAATAAAGAGGTTTTTTGGAATTAAGTATCTTCTATGATAAATTTATATTCTTAATATACTAATGTAGATGATTTAAAATCTTTGCTAGAAGGAATGTTGGAATATAATGTGAAAAAACGATTAAATATTGAGTAAATAATGGAACATCCATGGATTTAAATACATATTTGAAAACAATTGTATTTTATAAAGTTTTTTAATTTTATATATAAAAATATTAATTTTAAGACGACTTAAAATAAGTATATATATGTGTTTATATATTTTTTTATATTTTTTATTAGTTTCTATTAGTATTTTATAAATTATAAAGAAGTTTTTTTCAAATATAGTTTGAGAATAATAGAAAGGTTTTTTTTAGTATAGATAATAAAATATATATATATATATATATATATATATATATATATATATATATATAATATTTTTTTTTTTTTTATTTTAACCAGATGTTTTTATAGTTCTTTTTTTATTATTATTCAATACGCTTTTTTTTATTTAAAATGGATATTGTAAGTGTAATTCAAAAAATATAAGAATTCTGTTTTAATTTTTGTAATCTAATATGATTAATTTGCTTAATTTATTATTTTTTTTATAAAAAAATAATAATAATTATATTTGATTAGATTTAAATTTTTGATATAAAATTAAATATATTAATTTTATTTTATTAATTTATTATGTATAATTTTTTTTTATTTATATTCATAATATATAATTTTATTTATTATTTATATATTTTGTTTTCTTTTTTTTTAAAAAAAAATTAAATTTAATAATCTTATATGAAATATTCAAAAATACTATTATATATAAAATATATAAATTAAATAATTAAAATATAATTTATTTATATATAAATAAAAAAAATAACTATTTATATATATATATTTTTTTAATTAATTAACACTTTAGGTACATATATTTATAATAAATATTTGATATAAAAATTTTATATTATTTAATATATAATTATTTTTCATTAAAATATAATTTTTAATAATATTTACATTCGTCTTATCTTATTCGTATAAATTAATTATTTTTTAATTATTAAATTTAAGTTAATTTTTATTATTAAACTCTTTAGAATTCTTCCAAATATTCTTCAATATATATTCTCTGACTAAGCTTAAATTATTCTTATAAATTTAATATTTTTTAACATTTTTCAATGTCCTGTTTATCTTCAATAAGTTGAATATATTATTTATCTAATATTAGAAATTAATATTCCTAATCTTATTTAATGAATTTATTTCCAGATTTTATTTGATTAATAAATTAAGAATCTTTTATAGAAGTATTTATAAATTCTTATTAATATATATTAATATTAATATTAATCAAAATTGTTTATTTCATCCACTATTTCAATAAATTTTTATATTATTTTTTTAAAGTTACTACTCTCTATTATTTTAATATCAATGCCTTTTTTATTTTCTAAACTTTATTTTTTTATTTTATTTATTTCTTCCTTTTTATTAAATTCCCCGAATATCCATACTTAAGTCCTTTATATCGACACTATAATCCATATAGTTTATATTTTAAGTCTTATTATTTATAATTTATTCCTTATTTTTTATTTTAATCTTGTTTATCCTTATTGGTTATATATTAATCATCATATTTATCATTATTATTTAAATTTTAATTATTATAGTCCTCATCTAACCCTTTTTTTAGGTTCTTAAAATTTTCTAAAAATTCCTTTTAATATTTTATTATTCTCGAAAATCTTCTGTTTCCAACACTTTAGTCTTTATTAATAACATTATCTGTTTTCATATTATAGTCTTTATTAAAAATATTCCCTATTTACCCTTTTTAATCTTTATTGGTAATAATTCCTATTAATACACTTTAATTTCCTTAAGAAATAACTCCTATTTATACACTTTAAATTTTATTAGTAAGATCTTCTATTTATTAACTCTAATCTTTATTTATTTTTCCTATTTAAACACTCTTATCTTTATTTATATTTTTTATTTAGACACTCTAATTTACTTCTAAAACATCTTCTATTTATAATTTTTAATCATTATGTATATTATTATCTATTAAAACAATCTAATCGTTATTAAAAGTATCTACTGTTTAAAGACTCTAATCTTTATTAAAAATATCTCTTATTTATACACTTGAATTTTTATTAAAAGTGTCTACTATTTATACTACATTCTTATCTTTATTGGTAATATTATCTATTTAAATACTCTAATCTTTATTAATAATATCTCCTATTTATAAACTTTAATATTTATTAGCAATATCTCATATTTATATACTTTAATCTTTTTTAAGAGTAACTTATATTTATTTATTTTAATCTTTATTAACAATATCTTCTATTTATAGGCATTAATCGCTATTATAAATATATTCTATATATATGCTTTAATCTATATTTATTTTTCCTATTTATATACTTTAGTTTTTTTCAAAAAAATGTTCTATTTAAGCACTTTAACTATTTTTTTGAATTTAATTAATTTAATCACTTTAAGAATTATCATTAGTTTTTATATTTTGGAATTTCATTTAATCTATTTAAGCACTTTAAACTTCTTTTAATATTATTTTTTCACTTTAAGAGCCATAATGTTATTTTAATTAAATAAGATTTTAAAATTATTGATGTTATTATATTTATTAATTTATTTAAGTTAATTAAAAAAACTCGTTTTAAGTTAAAATAGAAGAAAGGATTTAAAAAAAATTATTAAATTTGTCAAAATTTTAATAACTAAAATCTTTTTTGAAATTATCTTATAAAATTTAAATATTATTTATAAAAAATTTTATAGTTTTTTAAAGAATTAAAAATAATAATTCTTTCTTAACAGAACATATTTTTTAATGTTTTAATTTTTTCAATTTCTTAAACTGTTTCAAAAAATTTTTATATTTCTATTTAATATTTTTAGAATTTATCTTCATATTTTTGCTATAATATTATCATATTTTAAGCATATATATTACTAATTTTTTAATATTTTAATTATAATTAATTCATTTAATCTTTAAATTCGTATAAAACTTAAATTAAATTAAAGGAATAACCAATTTAATTTATATTGAAAATATTAATTTAATGAAATAAATAAGAAAAAATAAAAATATCATAATTTATTAATTTTTATGTTGTAAAAAATTATATATAATTATTAAATAATTAAAAAAATAAAAATATTATAATATTTATTAGTAAAAAAAAAATAATTATTATTATAAAATAAATAAAAGAAAATATATTTAATTTGAAAATAAAAAATAAGATTATTTTTAAAAAAAAAAAAATATTTAATATTATAATATTTTCATAGAAATTAAAAAAAAATTTTTTTAATATAAATAAAAACAATAAATTTTAAAAAAAAAATTAATAAAAAATATATCAAATATCAAAATTTTAAAAATCTAAAATAAAATATGTATAATTTATATATATTTAAATATAAAAGTATAATATATAATTTATATATATATTATATACATAATTTTTTTATGTTGTTTTAATTTAAAATATTTTAAATTTATTTATATCGTTTATATTTCTAACAATATTTTTTATAAGCTAACTTTATATATTAAATATTTCTAAACTTATTTTTATTTATATTAATTACTTTTTATTTTTTTTTGTTAATAATTATTTTTTATCTTAAATATAATATATATATATATATATATATATTTATATATATATATATATAAATATATTATTATTTTACACATAAATAAATATCACATTTTTTAAAAACTAATAAAATAATTATATTTTTTTAAATATTTATATACTATATCTTCTTTATTTTTTATATATAAGTTTTTTTATTTAAATATAATGTTATATTTTCATTGTTTTTATCACTTATTATATATTGTAATATTTTCTTATTTAAAATATTGATTTATTTATTTTATTTTTTCCATATCCGCTTTATTTCTTTATTTTTTTGTCCTTTTTTTTTTTTCTTCATTAATTTATAAATAATAAATATATAAAAAAAACACAATTAAAACAGTTATAAAACTTATATATGAATTCTTTATTTTTATAAAATAAAAATATATCTTCCTTATCCAATCTGAATTAATTTTAAACTATAAAAAAAAAAAACTAAATAACTAAAAAAGTTAAAAATATTTATTATTATTGAATTAATGATTCAAATAATCTTTATAAACCCTTATTTTACTATAATATAAAGACTATCATTAAGTTATTAAAAGTACATTATATATCCTAAAATAGTTCTAATAATAAAAAAATAGGAATTAGTAATAAATAATAAAATTCTTTTAAAACTAATACAAAATTTTATAAAAAAGACATTTTTATTATATAAAAAAAGATAAATAAGATTATAAAAAGAAAAAGGGAATATAATTTATTTATTTTTTAAGAAATTTTTATAGAATAAAATAACACCAAAAAATCCATAATAAAAAGTATACTGAATTTTTAATATTTTTTTATTAAATTCATATAAATCTTCATAATAATTACAATAATATTTTCACAAAAAAAAAAAAAATATTATAAATATTTCACAAATTTTTTACTAAATATTTACTAATATTTTAATAATATATGTTAATATAGTATTCTTTTTATTATATTGTATAAAATCTAGTATACTTTTTCGCAATATTTTGTTAAAAAATTCTATATTTCTTAAGTACAATTAAAAATATTTATAATATTAGACTATATAATAGCGTATTTCTTGATATAAGTTTAATATTTTTTTTATATATGTATTTACGATATGAAGATATATAATTATATATTAGCTTAAAAAATTTAGAAATGCAAGTACATATGTAATTGGAGAAAGCAAGAAGATATAGAGTTTAAGATTTCGGAAATACAAGAACATATTCATTTGCAAATTCTAGGAAATAAAAGAGTATATTTTAATACAGATTTAACATATAAATGTGTATAGGAGTTAAGTATTTTAAAAAGAGACGCATATATTATAATATAGTAATTTTATATTATAGTAAATATTATTTAAAAAGATTTATGTAAAAATAGTATATTTTTAGGAATATATTTTATATATAAATGAAAATTTTAGATAAAAAAAGTATATATTAAAGTATAAATTTAAATATACAATATAATTAAAAACAATTAATTTTTAAGTCTAGATAAATACAGATATAAAAAAATGAAAAAAAACAATTTATTTAAAGCAATTTGAAATAAAATAAAAAATAATTTACAGCTTTTTCTAAATATATGGTATGTATTTATAAAGATTATAAAAAAAAATGAATTCATTTAATGATTTAAACTAAATATTTATATAGTGTATAAATATAGATTAAAAAAATAAAATGTTTAGGTTTTATTTATTTTTAATTATTTGATATAAGAAATTATACATTTTAGATAAACAAAAAATAAATTTTATATAAAAAAAAAGTTTAAATGTATTTATTATCGAGATTAATATTTTTTTATATATAATCATTTCAAAAAAAAGGAATATATTATATATTAAATATAATATTAATTATATTTTTAAGTGTATAAATAATTACTTTTAATTTTTATTTATTGAAAATTAATTAGAATAGCTATAAAGAATTTCATAATAATAATAAAATAGAAGAAAAAAAATCATTTTTTAAAAACAATTTTTATGATGCTTTATATTATTTTATAAAAGATTAAAAGTAATATACGTATATAAAAATTCTTGTAAAAAAAAAAATATGTAATGTTACAATTTTTTTTAAAAAAATAGATCGAAAAATTATAAATTTAATAAAATATTTATTAAAATTATTTATATAAAATTGTAAATTAAAAATATAATGTATATATATTTATATATTAATTTATATATTTATTTAATTTATTATATATATAATACATATAAATAAAATAAATAAATATATATATATATATATATATTAATTTATATATTTTAAAATTTCTTTTATTTTTAATCTTAAATATCCATTTTTTATAAATTAGTATTTTTAAATTTAATATTTTTATTTAATAATAAATAATATGCTTAAAAAAAAAAAATTATATAATACACATATACTTATTTTTTAATATTATAAAATAATGATTTTATGTTATAATCTATTTTAATAATATATCTTTTTATTAAAATGTAAATATTTTTTTTAATAAATAAATAATTTAAATTTTTTCTATTTTTTTATTAATAAAAAAAAAAAAATTTTAAATCTTAATAAAAGCTATATATATTAATTAACTAATTTTTATATATTGAATACTAAATCTAAATTTTATACATTTTTTATATTTATTTATTTTATATTTTTATATTCAATAATATTAAAAATTTTATATATATATCTTTGAATTTAAATTTTATTAATAAATAATTAAAAATTTAAATAAAAATTATATATATATATTATTTTTTAATTATTAAATATTAAAAATTATTTTATTATGCAAAAAATGATACTATATTATTTTTTTTAAATAAGTTATAGTGTTTTAAATTTTTTTTAAATATTTATATTGATATTAACAAATAATAGTATTTATTTTATATTTCTTATTTATTATAATAAAATATAATTATTTACGTTTTTTTTTTTTTCAAAAGAAAAATCTAAAATAATTGAATTAATAATAAATAAAATAATAAAATATAGCAAACTTAAAAAAATTGTTATAAATAAGATTTTTTATATAGATTTTTTAGTTTTTTATATTTTAAAAAATATATTATTTAAAGATCTTTATATTAAACTTTTAAATATATAAAATTTTTTATCTTTTTTTTAAAAAAAAGAAAATGTATAAATATAAAAACTTATTAAAAACAATCATTATTATTTTTAATCTTAAAAATAAGAAAGAATATATATATATATATTTACTAAGTTTTTTTATATTTTTAATTATTATTATTTAATTTTTTTAAACATAAAATAAAATTTAAAAAGAAATATATAAATAAAAAATGAATGTAAATGATAAACCTGGGCAATATATGCCCGAAAAAAAGTAATTAATATAAGAAAATGTATAAGAATAGTTAAATTTAGTATCAAATAATATTATGAATAAACCAAAATAAAAATATTAGCAAATAATATGTAAAAAAATAAAACTATTTAATAAATTGAAAATATATAATATAAAGAAAAAGAAAATAAAAATATATTTAATTTTTCAATTGATAATTGTGATTTATTATATTCATATACATACTAACCAAATAATGATATTGAAGGAATAAATGACTTAAATGATTATATAAAATAAAATGTAGTTTTTTGGGAAAAAACAGGAAAAAATCATAAATTTTATTTACCAGAAAGCAAGTTCGATCAAATTAAATAATTGAC